TTGTAAATAAAATAATATATAAGGTGAATAGGGGTAATTTGGCGAAGTTAGTAAAAATTCCACATAACTCGTTATTTATTGGTCCTGGTTAAAGATTTTTAGTACCATTCAATTCGTCTTATCGACATGAATCAAATAGTACTAAAATTATTCAATTTGGATCACAGAGTTACGAATTATTGACAACTGTATGGGAAGAGGGTATTGTGGCAGAGGGGTAATTTGGCGAATTGAAGATATATCTCGTGATCTCGTAAACGAAATCAAACAATTTTGCCACTATTTGATTCGTCTCACCTAGACGATTCAGATGGTACAAAAATTGCTCGATCGTGATCGCTGGGTCACAAGATATTGGCGTCCGAATGTGTCCAAATATAATATATTAACTTCTTTAAAAAAATTTAATATATAATATTCAGAGGTTAATATCTCTTGACCCAGTGATCAAAATTAAATGATTTCTGTACCATTCGAATCGTCTTGATGAGACAAATCGACTGGTGGTAAAATTGTCTAATTTTGGCCAAAGGAATCTGAGTTTCTGCAATTCGTCAAATTACCCTATTCGCCAAATTACCCCTTTTCACCTTATATTTTACAGCTAGCATTTGAAATCTGTATCTTGAATATCACTAAGCATTTTTAGTTAAATCTTCAAATGCACCTATAACATTTTTTGCAGAAATAAAAGTTGTAGATTCATAATTTTGTAACATAATTTGATTTAGCATCTTTTACTCTTCATGCTGTAAAGAACTTGATCGTGTAATATTAAATTTTGTTTCTTTTCTAGCCCGGTAAAATTTACTATTGCATAATAAGCAAGAAGAAAATTTAAAAGCTGCACTAAATTCAATCTTATAAGAATTGTTACATGATATTGCTAAGGAACTTTAGTATAATTTTTTTTATTAGAATATATATATTTTTCATTACAATAAATTTTAGAAGTTGACAAAAAAGGCACTTTGTGGATCCAAAGCATTTCCGGGAAAATAATTCTAGTCATTAGAAATAAAAAAAATGTATACTAAAAATATATATAAGACTTTATATATATATGTACGTCATCAGAAGTAATGTTAAAGAAATCGGCAATCTGAAATCAGAAATCATCGATTTCTTTTTTTTTCTTGATCTGCAAATTTCACATTTTTTTGCTAACCGCAATAATATTCAATCAAATTATTGATTAATTTATCAATTAATGATTTTAATAAATTCATTATAGCAAAAAATATTATATTAACCATCGGTCCATCCGGTCCGGTCCTATTTGGTCCTGGACTGTAGTCCAGTCCGATTCTTTAAAAGACTGGCGGTCTTTTAACCAGGATGGACCGGACCGACCGATTAACAGCCCTAGGTCGACGTTGGTGGCCCGGATATTCGTAGCGCAAGGGATCATGATCGGGTAATGATCCCGATTTGCATGAATGGCGTGATTCGGGTATGCATGGGAATTAATTAAAAGTTTAAAACATTGATTGCATGAGCGATGGGATAGTATGTAATTATCAGTGACGCACATATGTATTAGTAATTAATATAAGGTATCGATCCCGAAAGGGAAAGAGCTTTTCATGTTTGAGCTTTGTTTGCTTAGTGAAAAACGAAACTTAGTGAATAAACTATTACTTGTGTGAGAATACATAATCAGTAGAAGGAACTGTATGATACACGGTCTTCGAAGATATTAGCCAAGCGAGAAAAGACCAATAGTAAAGACCCACCAGTACACGGTAGTTCCAAGATAGGCCGTGACAAGTACTTATACTTATTTTCTGGCACCTGATTGGCTGGAATAAGTGATAAGTAACAATTTTAGCTAGTACTTTACGCAGCACATCACTAATTGAAACTATTAAAAACATAGAGCTAAATAAAGCATTGCAACCGTGGTTTCAATACGTAGCTTGGGGATAGAGATACAAATTATTCAGTGTTTCAGTGCAATTCCTGGCAAACCACACTAAATCACATAATTCTAATTACTTTTTATTAATTTTGTGTAACTATAAGCTTTCAATGAACCAAATAACAAATCCTGTGTGACCGCGAAGTCAAGTGACAATTTCTAAGACGAATTCTAATAACAATAATTTTTGCGAAGTGTTATTCAGTTCTCGTCTACTTATGCGATCAAGCCTTATGACTTGACATCAAATTTCTAGAACTTTTGCCATATCTGAAAATGCAGCAGCGAACTTCTCATATCCATATTATTTAAATCGTAATAAAACAGTTTATAATCTTTAGTAGATTATTCATCGCCAATATTTTTGTTTATTTAATTTATAAACTTAGCAAATTGTAAGAAGGATTATTAAGGTACCGAACTTACCAAATATATCAAATTATATTAAGACTATAAGTTTTATAAGGATTAATGAATAAAATGTTCAAGTTACAGTCACGTTATATTTCTTAATAAATTTTCATAGAATGAAAATTGCAATTTAGAAATAATTTAACAACATCTATTAGAGATAATTTGTATTTATGATGCCAAAGCTTAGACAATAAAAAAAAAAGACAAAAAGTGTCAACTTAGAAAAAAGTATATTTATGCATGACTATATTTATGCATGACTATATTTATGCATGACTATATTTATACATGACTATATTTATACATGACTATATTTATGGGAATGGAACCCCCGAAAACAACAATGTAAAAAATGGAGCGCTCTGTTGTGGTGGATTCTCTGCATCTTGTATTCTAGCCAGTGGGAATAGATTCGTGCCACTAACTAGGTCATCGTATTGCCGAACGGCATCGGTGAATAGATTTGCAGTATTCTGGGGTCTTTGAAGTTGGCCATAAACGGTTTGTGGTCCACCAATATTCTGGGGTCTTTGTAGTTGGCCGTTATTGTTTTGCGGAAGAGTGCCAGTTTGAATTGTGGGTTGGTTCATAATTATAATTTTACATAAAAATTTTTTGAAGAAAAGGTGAAAAACTAAAGTTTTTATATCTTTTTTAAGCGTTTATCTGAATAGTTTTACTGTAAATTATCTTGATGGCTCTAATTCGGTTATCCATTTTAGCAATGGATTTTTTTCTTGTATACAATACAGATCTAGCGTTACTGAAGTTATGATAAACTTTATTAGATATGTAATAATTAGGCAATAAAGCTGTGTAATGTTAAAAGTCTTATAGAAAATCCGGATGTTTTAGATACGCCAAAACTTAGTTAAGACGGCAAATGACACAAAACTTAAATGAGACACGAATGTTGGCCTAGTAACAGTTGCGGTGGAAACCGTGCAGCTTGCATTACTGGATCATTTTGTGTTTTAACAGATTTCTTTTTTTAGGTCAAATTGGCCGGCACGAAATGGCGATAACAGTGAATGACATAATTTTTCGAATAAAGAATTTCGGTTGCAATTAAACATGTATTACACACCAAAGATATGCAAAGTCGTGTAGACTCTATTGTAAATAAAATAATATATATAATTTACAGCTAACATTTGAAATCTTATTTTGAATATCACTAAGCATTTTTAGTTAAATTTTCAAATGCACCTATAATTGCATTTCACATGTGTTTAAAATTTGGTTAAGTAAGAATTATTTTGTGATTTAATTAGCTGTTCTATTATTAATAGATGTTTTCGATATGCAGATCGTCGATCCAACCAAATCGAAAACATCAAAACAGCGATAATTTCTAATACCAGGAACGTTAGTGTATGGTTTTACTGGCATCTAAAACGAAGGCAAAATCTTAAAGCTGATTGGTGCATAT